ACTTATTGTTTGGCAGAGGGGGCTGAATCTGGATGCCAGTTCTGACTTACATACAGATTCACTTTAAGACCCCCAGGCGTCCCCAAGTCAGCTGCTGCTGAAACTGATCAGCGGCTGATTCCAGGAAGCCGGAGGCAGAGCAACTCTGCCTCGGGCTTCCTGTAGTCAGACGCTGATCAGTTTCAGCAGCGGCTGAATCTGGAGCCAGTTCTGACTTACATACAAATTCAGCTTAAGAACAAACCTATAGTTCCTATCTTGTACGTAACCCGGGGACTTCCTGTATTTTAATTTTGGGGAAAGCAGCCTCTCCTTTAATTAAGTGATACTCAATTGCATCATTATTAATGATCTGACATGTTAAAGAGATACGTCTGTTAAAAAGGTGCAAAGTATAATGACTTCTTCCTTTGTTCAGAGGTGTATTTTTTCTTTAAAGATCTTTTACACGTTGACACCGTTTTAGTTTACAGGTCCCTCCTTCTGGTTCCCAGAAGGAAAGAATCTCATCACACACCTGATAAACACCTCTGCAGTTTCTTCTCAGGAGAGATCAATAGCCTCAGGCCCTTCCCACATGAGGGCCTGTGTCTCTGTCTGTGGGACTCTTTTTAGGACATAATAGTAGTACTGGGTGAGTAGCACAAACTATTTCCCATGAATATTTGGTTAAATGTTTAAATTATTAAATTATTTCACTTTGGCAGCAGTGTGCCTCTTTGCAGTTTGCTTCCTGTTAGTATGTGCATAACTGTTTTACTGACATAATTGTTGAAAAGGAATTTTTTAAATCCTGGGAATTAATGTTTGCAGAAATTAAATTGTGCATTTGCCTCATGCATAGTTATTTATTTATTGTATTATTCATAACATCTAGGAGTCCCAGTGATAGACCAGATCCCATTGTGTTAGGTTCTGTACAAACACAGAAAAAAGGGTTCTTGGACTCGTTCAGTTAGCTCAGGTACCCAGGTACCTTTTTTGGCCAATGAAGTGTAGCCAATAGCTATCAAATAGTTGCACAGAATTATTCTTGATCAAGCCACAGAGTTAAAGAAAAAGAGAGACATTTCACAAAGTTATTTTGAATAGTTGACTACATTTGAGGTAACCGATTTGGATAACCCACAAA